GGTTGTATCTTATATGGCCGCTCACACACTTTTAAAACTCCAGACACTACTCATCAAACTAAGATATAATTATAGTTTATGAACTATATTATACCACTTGACTGAGCTATCCCATGGGCTGTGGTCCTAATCTCAGTGAAATTTTTGAATGATAGATTGTGGACACATTTTGACATTGTGCTTTAGTCAAAACCCACAAGACAAAGAACATAAAGAATGAACTATGAACTTCAGTCAGTAATAGTGTATCAACATTAGTTCATCACCACAACAGTACATGGTGTTCATAATAGGAGAAACAGCATGTAGGGGGTATGAAGGGTGTACAGTGACTCCTGTGCTCCCTACATGATTTTTTTTTTGTTAAACCTAAAACTGGTCTGAAAAACAAAAGCTACTCTAAAAAGAAAACGAAAAACCCCAAGAACTTAACAGCCATTCTTACTCATTTATTTAGTTATGGATAAGTCTTGGAAAATGTTTGGAGTGATTTGAACACCTGTTTTTCCTGTACTTCAAGCGTAAGAGTACCAAACCCAGCTGAGTGAAACAAAAATGGTAGAGGGTTTGTTCAAGATCATTAATACTAAAACTAAAAGCACCCTGACAAGTATTCAAAAGATACACCTGTTCAGCAAGTGTTTTGAGGATGTTTATCAGGTAGAGTACCTGTTCCAATGGAGAAGTTCGTTGTTCTGTAAAATATTCCACAGCTCATTCTTTTGTTGTAAACTGACAACTGCTCAAGGTATATGTAACAGATTCATACTCCAAATAGAGTTCCATTTACAGAAGATTTGTGGAAGCAGGTGCTGTCAGGAAGTATATTGTCCTCCTCACTCTCACCTATTGTCATCATATTCCTTTATGTGAGGACCTGGTAGAATGTCAGGTTTCTAGGAAATAGAAACATCAGATTGAGAGGTTCTGTTTGGTTTACATAGTTGACAGGAATAATTTAGGCAGGAAACACAACTTCTCTCAAGGGTTCGATTTACTTTTGTCTTCAAATTTTGACTGTACTTTGCCTACAGAGGTACCAGTTAAAGCATAAGGAATGACAGGACCTTAGAAGAAGACACATTCCATGATTTCTGTTCTTTCTTTAAAACTGTCCTTTCCTTTTTGTTGCAGAAAGTTTGTAGACTTTGCTTCCCTCTAAGACAGAAAATTGCCCCTTTCCCTTTTTCTTCCTTCATTGTTGACTAACTTTATTTTTTAAAAAAACTTAACATTTTATGGTAATTTCAAACATACAGAAAATTGCAGTAATAGTACAAAGAACCTGTATACCCCTTCATCAAAATTTACTAATTTTTAATAGTTTTTTGCCAAATTTGCTTTTATATATATGTTGTTGTTGTTATGTGCCATTGAGTCAGACACGACTCATAGCGACCCCTTGTTGGGTTTCCGAGGCAGTATCACTACGGAAGTAGATTGCCCCATTTTCCTTCCAAGGAGTGGCTGGTGGGTTTGAACCGCCAGCCTTCTGGTTAGCAGTCAAGTGCCTTAGGTACTACGCTACCAGAGCTCCCTTTTTATATATATAGTAATTATGTTTTTCTGAACCATTTGAGAGTAACTTGTAGACATCATGTCTCTCTACCTTTAAATACTTGTGTGTATTTCCTGAGAAGGATATTCACTCACATAACAGTGAGTGGTACCATGATCAAAATTGGGAATTTGAACATCGGTATCATGCCATTACCTAAATTAAAGGAAATAATTAAATCTTGCCAGTGGGCCCAATAATGTCCTTTTGGGTATTTTTATTTCTTATTCAGAATCCAGTCTGGGATCTTATGTTACATTTGTGTTTTTCTGTTCTTTTTTTTTTTTTTTTTAAATTTTGTTGTGTAAAACACGGGGTTTGCCAGTTCAACCATTTTTAAGTATAAAATTCACTGCCATTACTTACATTCACAGTGTTGTGCAACCATCATCACTCTCTATTTTCAAAACTTTTTCATCACCTCAAAAACAAACTCGTACCCATTGGTTCCCCCTCCCCCTGTAAGTACATTCTCTCTCTATCAGTTTGCCTAAAGGAGGTAATTACTCATTTCTTTGTCCATCTTTATGTCTACTCTGAATGACTGCTTTCAGGTGATTCACCCCTTCATCAAGCCCCAGCTCCTTCCTCCTCGTTTCTTATTCTCCAGCCTCTTCTCAAACCCTCTTTTTCGTTGTATCACCATTTGCTCTATACTTTGAGAAAGGAGTGATAGTATGTGATCTTGTTAGTGTGAAAGGCTTGCTGAGTCATGTTTTTGTTCTGGGTTGCTCTGTGGACTGCACATACAACACAGATTCCACGATCTGATTCTTAGAACCCTTGAAGTCTCAGAAAACCAAAAACATGGTTGATGTTTTTGAGGACTTACAGAGTAGAACTGCCCCTTTCCACGGTTGTAGCCAGTCCTCGGAAGGAAGATGGGGCAACCTACTTCCGTAGTGATACTGCCTCGGAAACCCAAGGAGTGGAGTCAGGTCTGACTCGACGGCACATAACAACAACAACAGCAGTCTTTACTGGAGCAGACTGCCTTATTTTTCTTCTGTGGAGCAGCTGGTGTGTTCGAACTGCTCACCTTTTGGTTAGCAGCCTAGCATTTAACCACAGTGCCAACAGGGCTCCTTGAAATCCAGGTAGGCTATTTAATATCAGGCTGGTCTTATTTAGGATTCTTGTATGTCTTTTCAAAAGTTTGACTGTCAGTCTTCAAAGATACTCTTTTTAAAGAGTGACCTACCTCCAATACTTCTCAGTTGTGCTCTCCATTGAGCATAGCAGTGTTCTTGTTCACTATTCCTGCTAATTGTACACTGCTTCCAATTCTTTGTTACTTAAAATTAAGTAGACTTCCCTGAGAGAATTGGAAGTGACTGGTGACATCGTTCTAGTCATCTTGCCCACCTGGTCTGGGTGCACCTTGCGACACCTTGTGGTGTCAATTTCAGATGAGACTGAGTCCTGGTGCCCCATGCCTGATACCCAGTGAAAGTTGGAATGGTGGAACATCTCCTCACACAGCTTCAGCAGCCCTGTACCAGGTATGATTCCAGAGTGAGTCGCAGCTGGTCCCAGTGGCATCAGCTATAGCCCAGGCCTAGATAGAAGACTTTTTGAGGAAAGAGGATTCGTTCATCTTTATCTGTGGCTTAGAATCTTGTACAAAATAAGTTCATAATAAATAATGATTTTAATGCTTCTTTGAAAGTATTATAAGTTGAGAAGGGAAGTTAAACTAAGATTTTTTTTTTTCCTCTTAAAAATCTTATGCATATGCAGTATTTTACATTAAGTATTTTGTGGCCTTTTTGTTGAATTGAAGAGTGGAACAAAATTGTGAATGCACATATTTACAACTCAAAGCTAGAATCTCCTTAGATGTTAATTTTTGGCATGTCTTTACCTTTTCTTTATAACTTTGATTGGCTCTTGGTATTATGTCTATAGACTAAACTTACATAATTTTCTGTGTGTCATTTACAGTGTTTAGTGGCAGATGCAGCTTTGCATTGGTGTGGTTGTTGCCAGACTATCAGCCTAACAGGAGTGAGCTTGAACTAAAGAACTTTGGATTTTTATGGCACTTAAGTCTTTTATCTTATTGACTCATGTTATAAATGTTAACTCCATAGATTGATTTTTGACTACTTATATGTATTTAACCATAATCTCATATAGCTAAGTGTTCTCATTTTAATTTGAGCCTAAGAGTGAAAAACAGTTCCATACTGACATCAAAGGATCACTCTCACATTTTCTTTAGTCTGTGATCTGGAGTGTCTTTCTGTTGAGAATGAAGTGAATATATTTATCAGTTACTTATTAATCTTTTGGTACGTTTGGACATTTAGAAATACAAAAGCCTAAAAATCTTGAGAAATACAGTTAAACTGTTTAATTTTATTATGTTCGTTGAATTGAATTTACACAGCCAAAGAAAAACTTGATTTCCATAAAACCAGTAAAAGATTGTTTTCTTGGCAAATACATTTTCTATTTGTGTTTAGGCCTTCTGCAATAGTTGTGTTACAGTTTTCTGGTTTCTTCTTTCTTTCTTCCTTTTTTTTTTTTTTACCTGAGGTCATTTTGGTAAGAATTGAGGTGACAGAAGGAGGAAAAGTATGAGGTTTTAAATGATCTCCTGTGGATTAAAAAAAAGAAGCCTTCTGTTTTAGTAATCTCGTTTGCTAAAACAGGAATACTACAAGTGGATGATGCCTTTAACAAATAGAACTTTATTCTCTCACACTTTAGAATTCTGGAAGTCCAAACATAGGCTGCCAGCTTTAGGGGAAGGCTTTCTCTCTGTTGGCTCATAGTTTAGGAGGAAGGACCTTATCTCCTTTCTGTACCTATGGGCCCAGTGTTCTTAGAGATCACCATGTGCCTTGGCATCATTCTTCCCCTGGGTCTAGGAGGTTCCCAGTGTAGCGACTCTGGATCGAAATGATGCACTCTACTCCTAGCTCTCTCCTGTTGGTGGTAGTCAGACCCCTGTTTCTTTTGTCACTTTTCTCTCCTGTATGACAAAAGGTGATACAGGGCATACCCCAGGAAAACTTTACTCACGTTGGATCAAGGCTGTGACCTGAGTCAGGGTATTACATCCTATCCTAATTCCCTTACATGGTTCAGAGGTTTGACCTAAGCAAGGATCTTGCATCCTACTCTAATCGATTACTCTTATAACTGATTGATTGGCTGAGCACATTAGATCACATCATGGGGGATGATTACATCATTATATAACTGCCAATGAGAATCATGGTCTAACTAAGTTGACATATTTTTTGGGCCAACAATTCAATCTCAGACACCTTCTACACATCTTTAAAAAAGAGTACAGTTAGCTATAAAAAGAATTTGGTTCTTTGAGAATAAGGCAGTCTGTTACATATTTTTTTGACTGTCCTAAATAATACACATGTGGGACCTTATTAAATTTTGATTTCATGTGTGAATGAGAATAATTTGTTTTTAGGGTCCTGATGAGGAAGCTGTTGTGGATCTTGGCAAAACCAGCTCAACTGTGAATACCAAGTTTGAAAAAGAAGAACTAGAAAGTAAGTTTATTTAAAATAACGTAATTTGTTTAGCAGAATAGATAGCTAATGAAGGTTTATTATTTTCCTGTAAGTTGTGCATACTGTTTATTGAAACATTTTTGTTGTTGAAAGGTAGAATGTATATTTAGTAGAATGCTCCACACTTTTCTGAGTATGGTTTAAAAATTAATATCGCAGGCACACATGTAACCACATCCATATCTAGAAATAGAGCATTGCCAGTAACCATAGGAATCCCCACATGTGCCTTTCCTAATTATTTACTATTGGTTGAGATTAGTGGCATAACAGATTTCAGAATGCTTTCAAACTTCACTGGTGTCACTGTTACTTAAGTTGGAAAATTGAGAGACTATAACTACAAAATCAGTTAATTCTTTTATTTTTTATTTCTCGCAGGCTGGGTAATTTGCATTATTAGCAAACTAGAGTACCAGACTAATAAGGCACACTTATTAGTTGTCATCTAAATGTTCATTTAATAGGTCTGTTATATCAGCCTTTTAAAATGCCACCATAATCACAGCATAAAATTATGGATCGAATTAGTTACTGCATATGCTTCACCAGCTTCTTTTAATGTTAATATTTCATATAAAGATCATATATTTATCTAAATGAAGAAACCAACATAGGTATAATACTATTATTGGAGCTCTGGTGGCATAGTGCCTAAGGCATTTGACTACTAACTAGAAGACTGGTGGTTCAAACCTACCAGTCGCTCCTCGGAAGGAAGATTGACCAATCTACTTCCATAGAGATACTGCCTTGGAAACCCAAGAAGGGGTCGCTATGAGTTGGCTCTGACTCGATGGATTGGTACAATACTGTTAACTAAACTACAGAATGTATTCAGATTTTACCAGTTTTTCCACTAATGTCTTTTTGTCTTTTCTAGGGTCTAGTTTAAGATCCCCCCATAGTCCATTCAGTGGTCATGTTTCCTTAGTATTGTCTAATCTCTGATAGTTTTTCAGTCTTTCTTGACCTGGATACTTTGAAGAGTAGTGTTGTTGTTGTTGTTGTTATGTGCCATCGAGTCAGACCTGACTCATAGTGATCCCTTCTTGGGTTTCCGAGGCAGTGTCACTACGGAAGTAGATCGCCCAACTTTCCTTCTAAGGAGTGGCTGGTGGGTTTGAACTCCAGCCTTCCCTTTGAAGAGTAGTAATTAGGTATTTTATAGACTATCCCTTATTTTGGGTTTGTCTGATATTGTCACATGAATATACTGAGGTTATGAATATTTGGAAAGAAGTTCACAGAGGTAATAGGCCCTTCTCCTTATATCATATCAGTGGACACATGATATCAACATGACTTACTAGTGATGTTAATCATGAACACCTGATTAAGGTGATGTTCATGTCAAATGTTTTTATAGACTTCTTTTTCTTTTAGTCTTTTTGGGAACTATATCCTTAAAAGTCTTCTGTGAGAACTAGTATTATTTAAAAAAAAAAACTTACTGTTATTGAGTCAGATCTGACTCATAGTGACCCCTCCTTGGGTTTCCAAGGTGGTATCACCACGAAAGTAGATTGTCCAACTTTCCTTCCGAGGAGTGGTTAGTGGGTTTGAACCTCCAGCCTTCTGGTTAGCAGTCACATGCCTTAGGCACTATGCTACCAGAACTCCCAGCTATTACTATAGGAGCTATTAATCTGTTGTTTTTAAAAAGGAGATTCAAAGAGACACAAATAAAAGTTCCCCTCCTTTACATTCTGAGTTTTAAAAAATAAAACTATTATCTTTGGAAAATTGATTTTGAAATTCTAGACCTGCTAGAGCTTCTAGAAAGAAACTCAGTTACCAAAAACTTGTATTGGATCCCAAGTTACAGGTTAAATTTTTTAGCAATAATTTTATTAAGTCATATCTACAGTTATACATTTCATCCATTACTTGCCATTTCATTTAATGCCAACCCTCAAGTCCATGTGACCTAGAACAGGAAGAGAGAGGTTCCTGGCTGTATTATTTTTACTTTCTTTGGTTACTCCAGGGCCTTTACTTTGTACACATCTATATTTCATTATTAAGTTTAAGAGAGAGATTATTTTCTCAGAGTGAATAAGTCTTTAGAATAAAGTAAAAGTAAAAGGAAAGAAAAAATTGTAATAGAAGACAATAGTGGTTTTAATAAAAGCAGAAAAAACTATTTTTTTTAACAGAAAAACTTCAGTTTTTGGATTTTAGTTATTCTTATCTGTTTAATCTAGTTTTTCTGAACTGTACACTCAGGATTTATTCTCTTCTTGGTGCATTGGGACTTGTGTACCAAGACCTATTAGTACTACTTGGAGTAACAACTTTGTAATTCCCAGTGCACAGTGAGGAGAATTGACTCTTTCATTTCCACTCTTCTGGGTGTTGAGAATGAAATAATTTCCCTAAAAGAAAATAATAAAATTCTGAATTTTCTTATAGTTGATTTTTTTTCACTATTTTTTTTTTGAGATATAAAGTGTGTAATTCAGTGTTTTTAGTAGATCCACTAAATTATTTAATCATCACAATTCTCTCATCTAGAATATTTCCATGATCTGAAACAAAACTATCTGTAATTGTTTTTTAAAGTTTGAGATTCACTGGTAAAATCTCTTCAAGTAAGTGAGATTTAGTTAATTTCTGCAAACCTTTATTGAGTGCTTACCATGTGTCTGGCAGAGTGCTGGGTACCAGGAGATGTTTAAACAGATAATTTAGTTAACTGTGTTTCCAGAAGTCTAGCACTTTTTTGATTTAAAGGTGATTATTTGCTTTATGAACACTATCTTGGTGGCTAGTTAGCCTTTTAGTAAGTAAAAAAGACAAAGAAAGCCCCAGTAAGTGTTCTGGGTTACCCATTGCCCTTGGATTGGATCTGACTCATAGCGACCCCTCCTTGGGTTTCTGAGGCAGTATCACTATGGAAGTAAATTGCCCCATCTTCCTTCCGAGGAGTGGCTGGTGGGTTTGAACCACCATCCTTCTGGTTAGCAGTCAAATGCCTTAGGCACTATGCTACCAGAGCTCATTTGTAAGCAATGGGAAATAATTTAAAACCTTTAAACAGGACAATAATTTGGTTGTATTTGCATTTTAGATAGATAAGTCTGACAGCAGTATGGCAGGAATAGTGTTGTGGAGATCAATCAGGAAGTTTTTCTAGCAACCCAGATGAAGTATAGATTTGGGAGTTATTCATGTCGGCCAAACTGTGTAGGAGGTTGCTCGAGGACATGTATAGTAGAGGTTCTTAACCTTGGGGGTTTAGGACTTATTAGGGGGGAGCTTGTTCAGAAGCTTGTTCACTGGGCCTTATGCTCAGATTTTCTAGTTCAGTTGTTCTAAATGGCCTAGGGACCTAAATTTTTAACCTTTAGCTACAGTGTCCACCCTTGGAGAAATACTGGGTTTAAGAGTAAAAAATAGCAGCACACTTGAGTATGAAAACATGTGGAACAGTAATCTTTAACAGATGAATTTAAAGAAATTTCTACAAGGGAGACTGAGAAAAAGGATTAAAAGAGAACTGGAAGAGAGTGTCAGGGAATCAAAAACCAAACCAAACCAAAGTTGTTGCCATCGAGTCTATTCTGACTCATAGTGACTGCCACTGGGTTTCCAAGGCTGTACATGTTTATGGAAGCAGACTGCAGCTCCTAAGGCATTTGACTGCTAACCAGAAGGTTGGCAGTTCAAGCCTACCAGCCACTCTGCAGAAGGAAGACTGGGCAATAGATAAAGAACTAAAAATAGATTGCTGGAAATCGTAAAATGGAAGGTAATTCATGACCACAGGGATGGTAGTTTCAGTGAAGGAGTGCTAGTTGAAGTCAGTCTGCAGTGGGTCTAGGAGTGATTAGGAATCTTACCTTGTTGTGTTCTACCTTGTAGTCATAATGGCTTTCTTTCAATCCTTTGAGCAATGTGGTTTTGAAAAGATTCCACTAGGATCAATGTAGTCCTCCCTATTTTCTGCTTCCTTCGTAACTGGTATTGGCTTCTATCCTAGCACAAATCACATTACACTGTATAGGTTATTGCATCTCTTCCTTGGCAGAAGTCTTTAGAGAGCAGTGCTTTTTTCATGTTTATTCAGTTTTGATTTCCCAGTGTGTTGGCATTTAGAAGGAACTCAATAATATTTGTTGTATAAAGGAATAAATGGTTAAAATTACCTAAATGTCCAAATTTATGAATTTAGTTGAATGAATTATGTAATATAGTATGCTATGCAGCTGTAAAAATGAGGAAAGTCACTGAAATATTATGGAGTGACTTCCAAGATATATTTTTAAATGAAAGAAGCAAAAGATGGAAGAAGAGTATTATAAATACATACTTTTGTGTAAGCTAGAAGGGGAAATAAGAAAACATACATAAATCTGCATATTTTTGCAAAGTAATGAGAGAACATAAATCAGAGAGCAATAAAATTGATTTCCTATAGGTAGTGACAGGTGGGAGAAATAGAATAGATGGGATTAGATGGAAGTGATACTTCTGAATTGACCTTTTTGTATAGATTTGACTTTTGGAAGTGTGTGTGTATCTGTGTGTTGAAAAAGTAAAATCAACAAGATGTAGGAGGAGTGTGGGCTTAAAACTTAATGCAAACTGAAACAAATGAACCCAACTATATTTCACATAAATGTATAAACATACTTCATGGAAAAAAACAAGAACAAGAAGAGAACTACAGTTGTAATTATTGAACACAGTTTTGTGGCTATGTATCTTCAGTCTAGGATGTAATAACTTGAACCCTTCTTAGTAGATTTATTTTTCATAGTTGTATGGGTATGTATTATCTTAGGTGTATTGTAGGATTAAAGAAATGAATAAATTTGTTGATATTATTGGAAGACACTGTGGAATAAGGGAGATACAGTTAAGAAGATAGAATTAAGAATTGAAAGAAGGCAATCAGTATGAATCCACAATTTCTTTAATACATTTATCATTTCCTAGCTAATATACCAAAGTTCCTACTGGCATCCCTAATACCTACGAGCCTACCTAGAAGTAAGATCTTTGTTTCTAAATACTGTTTCCTACTAAAGGGAACCTAGGACTCCTTAAAGAAATGGCTGATCCTGTGATTGGGAAAGGGGGAAAGCACAAGATGAGCCTGGAATATTTTATACCAGCATGAGGAAAAGGACGAGGGAGACTCATGACAGAAGTACAAAGGAGCCAGCTTATATGGTAGATATACCGGTAGAAAGACTGAATGATCAGGTATCTAGGCAAAAGGGAACATATCCATGACCACGTGTTAAGTTTGACAAATGGTATTTATACATATGTATTTTTATGTGCTATAGGGATGTCCCGGTAGCGTAGTGCCTAAAGCACTTGACTGCTAACCAGAAGGCTGGCGGTTCAAACCCACCAGCCACTCTTCGGAAGAAAGGTTGGGCAATCTACTTCTGTAGTGATACTGTCTCAGAAACCCAAGGAGGGGTCGCTATGGGTTGGGTCCGACTCGACGACACATAGCAACAATATAGGAATGTCCATATATATAATACAGCTAACAAGGGGCAAAGTTATGATAACTTCTTAACCACAGCCAACCACCTGAAGGAATGGATTGTTGAGCCCATGGGCTTTGGACCATGGTCATGGGGGACATCAAGCTCAATTGGCATAATGTACTACACAAAAACATTGTTCTATATCCTACTTTGGTGAGTAGTGACTGGGGTCTAAACACCTTGCACGTTGGCTATAAAAAGATGCAGCAATTGGTCTCTTCTTGTCTGGAGCAAAGAAAAATGAAGAAAACCAAAGACGCATGGTTAAATTAGTCCAAGGGACTAGTGGGCCATATGAATCTCAGCCTATATGACCTTGAGGCCAGAAGAACTAGATGGTGCCCAGCTACCACTGTCAACTATTTACAAAGAGATCAGTGTAGGAGATTCTGGACAGAATGTGAGAAAAATGTGGAGCAAAACTCAAAATGATTTAAAAAATAAAACAGAAAAATAGGCTTACTAGTGAAACCCCTGAGACTATGGCTCCTAATCACCCTTTGGGCCTGGAATTGAACTCACTCTCATGGCTTCTACCCAATCAGTACACAGGTGTATAAGGTGAACATTTACACCAAGTAGGTATACTCCTTAGAACAATCAACCGTGGGTGATCAGAAGGGTGATATTTGCACAGGGGCATAACTCTTAGACAGGAATGCCTAGGAAAAGTAGCCACAGAGAATAGTTGTTACTTTGTGGGGGTTGCAGTCAATGCCATGAAACATGTGTATGAACTACTGTAGGGAAAATGAATTTGCTCTGTAAACTTTACCTCAATCACAATAATAATAATAATAAGTTGCAAAGGATCCAGCTTGAAGGGCCTCCTGTTGGCCAAATCTGGGGAAAAACTGAACATCAACATAAATGAGGCAGTAATGAATAAACTGGAAGAACCATGAGTCTGTATAGGTAATAAATAAAATACAAACAAAAAAACACCAAACTCACTCTCCTTGGATTTCTGAAGTGGTGTCTCTATGGAAGTAGATTGCTCCCAATAAATACAATAGATAGATGCATAAACGTGGGAGAAAGAAGGGCTCTTCCTTTTAGAATTATTGATTGATAAGTTTAGAGAGTATAGAATTGATTAAATATCGACATGTAATAGAATATAGGGAGTGCTGGTGGCACAGTGCCTAAAGCATTTGACTGCTAACTAGAAGGCTGGCGGTTCAAACCCATCAGCCATTTGGAAGGAAGATTGGCAGTCTACTTCCGTAGAGTTAGATTGAGGCCTTATGGTACATTTAAACCAGTTCCAGTCGTTTTGTTTTTATTCTCATTAATTTCTCAAGTCTTTGTAGAATCTCAGTGAACAATCTCCTTTGGATTTCATTTGCTCACATTCATGTTGGTAGACTTGTGCTCTTATCGACAAATTGAAAAATTCTTTTATAGATTTTCTTAAAGTCCAATCAGGTGGTTCTAAAATTAACCAAAGGAGAAGATCCTATAAACGTTATGATCCTGAATTAGAGTTTATTTAATTCCAAAAAATGTTCCAATTCATCCTGTCGCTCATGTGAAGGGAAATTGACCCTTCACAGATTGTTGTATTTTTAAATTGATTCTGGTTAAATATATGGCAGAATTTCATTATTTTAACAAATTATTTGGAGTGTAGATCTAGATTTGGAAAAATTTCTTTCAGATCTCATTTAGGGATGAGGGTTTCCTTAAGTATTTATTTTCTGATTGTCTTATTATGAGGTCTGTTAGGAAATTATTCATATTTGAGCATGTTATTTTGTATATAAGGTCAAAAAGCAGCCAAGCCAGGTGTGATTTGCATAATTGCAAAGTAGTTAAGCTTCTAGTTCACAATTGCTTTCCTTCCACACAGCTGCAGTAGGAACCTCTTTTCAACATTGAGAAATGAAGCTCATGCCTCTTGACATTTGGCGTAATACTGCTAGGTTATCTAGTTCCTTGATTCATTTTCGTTTAATGAGCAAGAGGAAGACTGCCTTTCATAATCGTTTTAGAATACAAAGGACAATGCAACATCACAGATTGCTTTTTTATTCAATCTGATAATTTCTACCCTTTAATTGGAATATTTGAATCATTTGCACTTAATGTAGCCCTTAGCAATTTGGACCTTGCTGATTTGAGATTTTCAAAACCCTAAAAAACTAGTAAGTATTTATTTACAGATTTAATAATGTTGATGATAGTGTTTAATTGTTATTGAAGCATCTCTTAAGGACCTCTGCTAACCAGGGTTGGCAATAAATGTAGATGGAAAATCTTTGCAAAGTGTAATTTCAGGAGAGCCAAGCTTTTTTTCTCTCAAGATACCTTTTTAGATTGGCAGACTAATTCTTGCATTGTTATTACGTGAATTTATATTTAATTCTTTGTTATCAAAGTCAATTTTGTTACATACCACTATATGTTTTGTGTATACCACTTTTTTCTCCTTTTGGAAAGTCAGTAATATGTATCTGAACCTTTTAATAGGTCATCGAGCAGTATATATTGGTGTTCATGTTCCTTTTAGTAAAGAGAGTCGTCGGCGTCATAGACATCGTGGACATAAGCATCACCACCGTAGAAGAAGAGATAAAGAATCAGATAAAGAAGATGGACGGGAATCTCCTTCTTACGGTAAGAGAGAGACATAGCTCTCCATTGACAGTTTAAGGTTTCCTGAATAGTATTTCTTACTGAAATTATGTGTGCAATGATTTAGCTACATTGTATACATTGGAGAATACCAATTGAAATTAAGACTTTTTTTTAAAAAAAAGAAAAATAAGTATCTAGTTGGGACAAGTGAAAAACATAAAGCACTTTGTTTTTTCTTCTTTGTATTCCAGCCTTGGAATTATAAAAATTGGATCTTGCAACTTAATTTCCAATTTAAGAGGCTTTTACTGCCTTTCTCCATCATATATCTTATTACTTAAAATATGTAGTGAAAAGACATCTGGAATCCTCAGATTCCTGAAATGAGTTGAAGTTGTTTTCCTTTTTAAACCACTTTTTTGGCCAGAAGATTTCATTCACTCTGTTGCATTATTTGGTTATCAATGCTTCCAGGAGTATAGTATTTTCATAATAATGAAAAACATTTTAATGGAATATGTTTATTTATAATGAAACTATTTTACTTTCAGAGCAGTGGATTTACCTTTGAGTAAATTGAGAAAAATTTTGAATGTGTATTTAATTTCTTATTTTGTCAAGACACACCCTCCCAGAGAGTTCAGTTTATCCTTGGTACTGAAGATGATGACGAAGAGCACATTCCCCATGATCTCTTCACGGAAATGGATGAGCTGTGTTACAGAGATGGAGAAGACTATGAATGGAAAGAAACTGCCAGGTATTATTTCTGAGTCTCATTTTTCACTTGGCTCTGCTTGATTTCTGTTCATAATAAGAATAATTAAATTGATATTATGAGGTAGACAGTGTGTGGTGGTTATGTTTTTGTGTCAACTTGGCTGGGCCTGGTTGAGTGGCTGGGCAGCTGGTGGTAGTATTCCCCATGATGAGATTGGTGATCAGCTCCATGGTGGGATCTACCACAACAGCTGAGTAGCTGCTTGTGGGATGTGGTCTGCTTCCTGAATATAAGGAGAAGCCTTGGGAATGGTCACCAGCCACATGCTTGGACCCTGCATGTAGCCATGTCGTTGCTTAGCAGCCTGCTATGCTCTGCCGACCTTGGGACATACAATGGACTTGAGTTAATGACCTGCCGTGTGGTTTGGTAACATCGGGACTGTGCCTTTTTACTTGTCAACCTTGGGGCTTCTCAGCCTC